TTAGTATAATTTATCTCTTATAAAATATCAAATTTCATTAAAGAAAATGATAAATATGGAAAAAGAATTCAAATATTCATCTTAAATTTTAAACAATTCAATTAATTTGAACAGTGAAAAAGTCACCTAAGTTCACTTAATATGAAACATAGGGAGTATTAAATAAGATAAATAATTTTTAAAATATATTCCTTTGTCCCTAATTATTTGTCCACTTTTGAATTTGCACACCTATTAAGAAAACAATTATTGACATAGTGAGTTTATGATTTTACCTCTATTAATTATGAGATTGATGAATTAAAAACGTAAGATTTTTAAGAAGTTCTACTTTTTTTCAAAGTAATTAATTAAGGGTATAATATGTAAAAAAAATTGTCATTTCTTGATTTGTCAAAATAGACAAGTAACTAGGGACAACTAAAAAAAGAAAAAATGGACAAGTAATTAAGAACAAAAAGAGTATTTTGTTAAAAAAAAAAATTGAATTAATTTGAGCTACATACTAATCCAGATTTTAGCAATCTAAATAAACTATGCTAATAAATGAATGGATCATTACCCGCCTAAACATAATTAGACTATATCTGTATGACCTAATTTGCCAAAACTTTTTCTTAAAAAATACATAAATATTAAGTACTACGAGTTTGATTGGATTGAATTACTATTAATGTTTTTAAGTTAAAGATAATTTTTTATTTTATTTTATAGTTGCACAAACTAAATTGTTTTAAAATTATTTATTTTATGTTAAATAATAAAAATAAATCAAAATAATTAAAAAAATTCTTAAAATTTATAACTTTTATTTAAATCATAAGTTATTAGCTTATTTAAACAAACCCTAAGATATAATTAGGTTGAAAAGGGGCATCTTTTTTGTAGTAGTTCGAATTTGATTATGATTTTTGGTAATTTGTGTTTTTTTGTGATAATCGAGAATCTGCTCACGTTATATTAAATTTGATAAACACAAGGATCAATAGTATTGAATTTTTTATTCTGTTCCATTTTTATATTATTGTGCTTTGTATTAAATTTATATATGCAAATTTGATAGTGATAATTTTTACCTTTTCGAAAATAAGTGAGTAACAATTTCATAAAATTGTGATAAAGGTTGGGAAGTTTCAATAGTTCGAAACTAAAATGCTATAGATATATATATTAAGGAAAAAAAAATCACAATCTAAAAAATTATAGCCTTAATAACTAATTATAGGTTAAAAAAAATTCTTTTTAAATTGTAGAAAATAAATAAATAAAATATCATTATGTTTTTTAAAATTAAAAAACTCAAATCCAACTAAATTAAACCAACAACAATCAAACCAATAGATATGAATTATATTTGATTTGTTTGATTTTAATGATTAAAATTTTTGAGATTAAATTTATCATATAAATTTATCATATAAATTTAATCGATGATATTTGCTAAAAATCAATGCTGAAATTATGATTATATTTTGAATGACTAATCTTATATAAAAGTTAGAATAAGTTATTTAAATCTAATCCAAAAAATATAAAAATATCTCAATTTGAAATAAAAAAGATCACTCTTACTTTTTTCCTCTATTAAAGATAAGAGGACACATGGAAGAATTACTGAATACATTTCTATGAAAGTGCAGGCAACTTTATTTTAACAAATTAAGAAAGTTTATTATTTTTTATACTAATTTTATTATTAAATAATAATGTTAAGTAGTAGTAGTAGTTACATTATAAAGTCGTTTGACCACAAAATATTTCCAAATATATATTTTAAAAAATTAAAAATATATTTAGCCATATAATTTTCAATAACTTGATAAATGTATTTGGCAAAATTCCAAATTCCCTAAATAATTAATAATATAATACTAATAATTTCCAGTCTGCAAGACTAGATCTTGTTGGTATCTGGTTTATTTATCAATTAATGGCCACCTAACTCTCAGTAACTCATTAAAAGATGAATAATAATTAATAAGACAAAACACCTTATGAAATAATGTGTCGTATGGTCGCTGGTTAAAATTGGGTAGATGGTACTTAAGTATTAGTAGTTTCATTTTTCAATTTGCATAAAATAACATATAAAGTTTTTCATAACTTACATATTTGTTAGTTATGTGAATTTCTAAATTGTAGATGAAATATTATATTAATTTTATATATGAAAATAATTTACTTCCTAATTAACTATCAATCATTAATTTATGCATAATTTAATATTTGAATACACCGTCTATCAAAAAACAAGAGCCCAAATTGGAGATTCACTTTTTAAGCATATTAATGGTGTTTAACTGTTTATTTTACTATGTTTTTGTCTTAAATTATTTCATGGTTTTTATTAATATTTATTTTAAATTATTTTATCATTTTATCCAATGTAAATTTATAAACGAATTTGGAGAGGATAAGATATTTATAAATCTTATTTCTATTTTCAGAGTAGATAAACTCCTTCTAATAGCCCATCGCTTCAAGGAAAAACAATTTAAAGCATATTGACAAAGAAAATAGCGAAAGTAAAAAGTTGTGATAAAATATTACAAAAAATATGACAAGACATATTAAATAATAACAATAGCAAATAATACACGATAATTAGGATAAAACCATCATACAAACGTTCTTTTATTTATTAAAATATCTCTTATAACTTCATTTTTGGACATTTGGAGTTTTATTGTAAATGGTGCGACATCCAAACTTGACACCAAGCAACTGAATAATATCTGTTAGGAGTATTTATTTTATTATTCAAAGAAGAACAAATACAGTATATACTAAAATTATTTATAAATCCAGTAGCAAGCCTACAATTACAAGCATATTTATTATTTATAAAAAAGAAAAAAAAAAGTAGCAAGCCTACAACTACAAGCATATTTGGATTGGCTGTGGAAAATTCAATTAATATAGATTTTTTTCTTTCTTTTTGGGTCCTACAATTTGAATTCATTTAAGGCAAATGACCTTTTTTTTGTTTTTTTCATTGAAAGTCTGGTATTCTATTTAAGTTTGATTAAATTCAAATTTGTATAGAGAAATTCTATATAGGGAGGTAAAATGCTTTCTAACAAAGACTATTTTGTACTCAGGGAGACTTAAATTCGAAATTTCTGATTAAGAATAAAGGAATATTTATCACTTCACCACAACCTTTGTTGGTTCAAATGACTGTTCTGATGTTGCATCTAAGGGTATCTTAGCATCTATGTAGTGAACTAATGACAAATGAAGTGAGTTAAGAATTATGAGGTTTTATGTTCAAATTTGAGCAGACATAAAAAAATGAAATGATTTCTTCTCATTTATTTTAGTCGTAGGTATAGTTATCTGATATTTATTATTGATAAAAAATGATAAATATCTCGTAAAATTAATTAAAATACATGCATACTGACGTAAACATCACAATTATATTATTAGAAGTTAGAGTCAAAGGAGTACTACACAAAGTAGGAGGTGAGCAAGCAGCGCAGACATAGTGATTAGTAACCAACATTGAAGACCACTCATCAAATGTTTTATGTGGGAAATGGAAACCACGTTTATTTGTAATATTTTCTTTTAATTTAATTTGACAAGTCAAAATTTGTTTGTAATATTTTCTTTTAATTTAATTTGGCAAGTCAAAATTGTTCTATTTTGACTCTTAAAACTAAGCTTTAACACTTGAAACAAATAATAAAAGAAATTGCACAATTACTCATTGAAATAATTTTATGACTTTAGTATAATAAAATAAAAATTAAATGATCATTTATAAAATAAACTGTGTCTTTGGTGATCACTTTTGCTGGCTTGCTTGATAAATATATTCTCTCCAACTAGATTTTTTTTTTTCATATTTCAAAAACTAACCATAAACTAAACTTTTAGCAACTAGTGTTAATTCAATTATGGTGTTAGCCAATAATTAACTAGCAGCCCACATATATGACATGACTATATTATATTCTTGTTTACTACTTTATATTTTTATTTTGTATCTCACACAATTGAGATTAATTGTGTGAGGTTTCATCGTTTTTGAGAAATTTTCGCATATAGTTATAATTTTGCCTTTAATTACAAAATATATTTACAGTTTTTTGTATTTTTGAAAGTAGTAATAATTTGTATTCGTGTGTAAACAAAATATATTGTATTCATATATATTGTACCGTCGAATTTGGAGGCTGAACAACTACATCTGGTAGCTGTGAGGGCTGGAATAATACAGGTAACTCAATTATTGGTAAGGTGAGGGACTGATCTGGTCGAGATTTATTTTCAACAAGAGTGCGAAACTGAATAAAAACAGAAATAACTTCAGATTTAAAGCGAAGAAAATAGATCCAAGTGTATTTACTAAAATGATAAAAAAAGATCACATAATAGCGATAACCATCATTAGAAACAACCGGGGCAGGTCCCCAAACATCTGAACAAATTAAATCAAGTGGTCCAGAAGCCTGAAAACTAGATTCACAAAAAGAAATCTTATGACTTTTGCTAACAACACAAGTAGTGCATAAACTAGGAGATTTACTAGATTGAAAAACAGTAGATGGTAATGCTTGACGAACAGTAGGATAAGATGCATGAGCCAGACGAGCATGCCAAACACCAAGAGAAGCTGCAAAGGAAGCTGGAGAGGATAATTTTGTCACAGGAAGCAAGTATAGTCCTCTATTAGTCCATCCTTTGTGAAGTGGTACCCTCGTTGCCAAATCCTTAATAAAAAAATGGTCAGGAAAGAATTCAATAGACACATTGTTAGATTTAGTAAAGGAACTAAAGGAAACTAAATTTTGAGTAGCAGTAGGAACATGAAGAATATCATCAAGTTTGAAGTTTTTGTCGGAAGCAACAATAGAACTTGCACCTATATGAGATATTGGTAATTTAGAGTCATTACCTAGAGTTACTTCCTCAGGACCTTGATATTCAGAGTGAATGCCAAGGTTATCCAGATCAGACGTCAGATGATGCGTGGTGCCACTATCCATCAACTAATTTTGGGTAGATGAATGTTGGGTATTTGCTAGGTTGGAGATAGGTCGTCCAGAAACCCGAGTGCCATTAGATGTCTTGGGTGATGGGAAAACTTGTGCGATATGGCCTTTAGAGGATTGAGTGGTATTCTGGAAACCACGTTGTTGGGGCATCTGAGAAAAACCATGATTTTGGAAACGTCCGCGGCCCCTGTTACCTCTACCTCTACCATGACCGCGACTGCGACCGGGAGGATAGGAACTCTGAGTATAGAGTGTCGTCGGCGCTATGACATTAAGAGTCTCATTTCTCTTTAATTGTCGTTCTTCATTCAACAATAGTCCATATAAAGCATCAAATGAGATATCCTCTTGACACGATTCAAGTGATCTTGTAAATGGTCGATAGGCTGGTCCCAGTTCAGCAAGAACAAATTCGACCAAATCATCATTAGTAACTAGATGCTGCAATGCAGCCAACTTGTCCGCAATTCTTTTTGCCCTTTGCACATAGGACTCAATACTAGTATTGTCTCGTTGCAACGTGTGTAGTTGTGTTTTCAGCTCACGAATTTGAGGCTTCGAACCTTAAGCATAGGCAGCAGCTAGTTTGTTCCAAGTTGTTTGGGCTGTCTCAGCACCAACTAGTTGGGGTAATATTCCTTCAGATACGGAAGCAACGATCCAACTTAACACAAGTTGATCTGTTCTTATGGTAGTCTGGGTTAGGTTGATCATCAGACATAAACTGCCCTGGAATTACCTGACTACCATCAATATGATGACCAAGTCCACAACCGCGAACCATCGAAAGGAACTGTGTCTTCCACAACAAAAAAATTGACGATGTAAGTTTAAGCGGTAACTGATGAGCAAGGCTAGGAGATGGTAGAGTGGTGACCGTGGAGGTCTGTATTCTCACGGTTGTTCCCTGCAAAAAGGAACTTGATGAGATGTTGTCGTCCACCATTGAAGCTGCTACAGAGCTTTTGTTTCTCTGGCGAGGGTTTAAATTTGGGTTGTTTTAACCTCTTAGGGCCCTGATACCATGAAAGACTTTCTCATTATATTATATTATAAATACACGTTATATTTATACATATAGATCAGGTAAGAGTCCTAGTCTAAGCCATGTAATGAGAATAACAATCCTATGCAAACTAAGCCACAAGTAAATAAAACAATTCAATTCATATTAGACAAGTAAGCTATCCTTCGTCAGTATCTGTGTGTAATAATAATGAAATACATTATTTTGAGCGCTAAATAGTGCATCTGTTCACTTAATAAGTATATTCATATGTATATAATATTTCCATCTAATTATATTTATATATATACAACATCTCTATCTAATTGTATCCGTGTATATCTGTTATAAAACCCCAAACTATCGCTATATTCTGTAATCTTTTTAAACTATAACTAATTTAAGTAATATAAGATTTAATTTTTTTCTTTTTTTTTGTCCCACAAGTTAATAGACTCATCAAATTTTACCTCTTTGAATGCAGAAAACTAATGATATGCCAAATTTATTCTAGGATTATAATATAGAAAAGGCAAAATGGTCTGATGGACCCCTGTACTTGTATCCGTTTGTATTTTGGACCTGTTTACTTAACCATTTGTCAATTGAACCCTTAGACTCAATTAAAATGAGATTTTTAAGTCCCTCCAACCATGTGTGTAGCTCACTCTCCTTTACATAAATGACATGTCATATCCACGTCATATTTATTAGTGCCATGTCATAATTATTTTTTAAAATTATTAACCAAAATTATTTTGTAAAAGGTATTATATACTCTTCATATGTTAATAATTGTCCGTAAAATTTTATTTGTTAACCAAAATTATTTTAAATGAAAGGTAACCAAAATTTGATTCTCCATATTATGTTTTAATAAAAGGTAACATATACTCTTCATACTCTTCATATGTATAATTTAATTAAACAAAACTATTTAATAAAAGGTAACATATACTCTTCATATAATTTTTTTAATAAATGTTAAACGAGACGTAAAAATTGTTAGTGCCATCTCATTCTCCCATTCACTGTTCACGGCCAAAATCAACCAGAGAAGCCATCGCCGTCGTCATGGACATTTTTGCTGGCGAAATCGCATATACTCTCTCCCTAACCTATCTTCATCTCCGCCGCACACCATCACCATTTTCCTTTCCTCCTCCAACCTCCACAAAACCAACAACCTAAGCTACCGCACCACTAGATCTGGCCGAGAAACCTCTTCGTCGTCATGACCTTGCACCTTCACCCACCTCGTTCTCCTCTCCACTGACCAGTGCCGCCTCTCTCTCTCACTCCATTGCGAAGCAGTGGTCTCCGGCGTGCACCACCAGCACCGCTTTCTCCTTCCGCGGTTAATCAGTGGACTCAAGATGTGCCCAAGATCTGATAAATTGATGTTAATAGATTGTGGAGAAGAAGAAAAAAGGGGTAGGTATGGGATGAAAATGGTTGAAAAGGACCGGATAGTGGGTGAAGAAGATGAAGGATTTTTTTAATTAATTGTTTTTTAAAAAATTATTTCTTTTATAATTTTAATATTTTTTAACCCAAATATTTTATTCACTCGCTTAAAGAAGCGTGTAGTTACACATATTTGCCAACTCAGACATTCTAATGCCACATAAGCTTGGTCAATGGTCAGAGAGATTTGTTACATTGTGTTTTATTTAGTTTAAGGGTCTAGATGACAAATATTTAAGTAAAATGATCAAGAATACAAAGTGATACAAATACAAGGGTCCTTCAGACCATTTCGCCTATAGAAAACATTGAACTCAATAAATTAAATTGGCATTCAAAGAAAGAAAAGGATTAGGTGGATTAAGTGGACAATAATGCAAGTAAAAGCCATTTTTACCCTAAAAAAAAAGGACAAAGAAAGGAATGTTTGAAAGTTCTCCAAACATTAAAAGTTTCTTTTTGATTTCCATTTTATGTGACACTATTTGACTTGACACGATATTTAAAAAAAGGAAGATTTTTGAAATTTGTGGCCGATCTAAAACAATCCTAATCAAGCTTCTTGGGTTGTGAGGAAAATACTACAAGCAGGACATTGGATCTCAGAAGTTGGATTACAAGTGACAGAGGTGATGGAGGCAGAAACTTTTGCAATCAAGGATATGTACAAAAAACTTAGAGGTGAACTAAGCAAGGTGCCATGGAGAAGAATGATTTGCAATAACCAAGGCAGTCCTAAATGGACCTTCATCCTGTATTTGGCTATACTAAGGATATTGTACACAAAAGACAGGCAACACAAATGGGGGATTCACACTGACTCAATTTGCTCACTGTGAAAAGCAGAATCAGAAACACATCAACACCTGTTTTTTGCATGTAATATGGCAAATGTGATATGGCAAAGGTTACTTCATTGGTTATCTATCAACAGATGCAGTGCAGGGTGGAATGAAGAGCTAGAATGGACTACACTGCATGCTAACAGGAAAACTATACAAGATGAAGTATACATAATGACATTGGCTGCAGCTGTTTACTACATTTGGCAAGAGAGGAATTACAGAATTTTCCAGCAAAGGGAGAGGACCATAGAGGAGATTACAAAACAAATCATTCAGGAAATTCATTGTAGAAGTAGCATGATTCCTAAAATGGCTAATGCAATGCAGAATTTAAATTTCTATCCTTCGTAGATTTTCTAGCATAAGAGCCTGGTTAAGGCAAGGGTGATGGGCTTTGAGACTTGGGAATATGTCCATGTCCTAAGCTTCAAATTTGTACATCTTGAAAATCTGGTAATATAATTACAGTTACCAAAAAAAGAGAAATTTTAAAGTTAAATTATTTCTAGTGGTGCCACAATGAAATGAGACGAGGGACTATTATTTTTTATATTAAATGAATAAGAAGCAAATTTAATTTGTCAATTCAACATTAATTAAAGGGGACAAACTTTTAGTTAGAAGATAATTTAGGATTGTTCAACTAATTTTCAATGAAAATCACATTTCTCGTGAGACTTTGGAGCAAGCAAATTATAATGAAAATCACATTTTAAAATTTAGCCAAGTGAAAATAATAATATGATTGGTCATCGGCATGCAAGGAAATATTGAGTGAATGAACTATATATTAGTTTTGATAAGCATTGAGAGATTTGATGAGACACAAACAATAGTGGATATGATGCAAAAATAAGTGTGTACATGATGAAAGACAGAAGTGACGTATGAAGATATTTGAATGCTTTTAATTATGTCGATTTTATATATATTTCTAGATATTTGAACAAAAAAAAATACATACATAAATTAGCTAAATTTTTTATTTCTTTACTGAATAAGATCTCGGGTGAGATTTTCCCCAAGCTGAATTGTAAACGAGGCCAAGGATAGAAAACTTTTATCTAACAAAATACAAAACGTCTTTCAATCATTTTTTTTTAATTATCAAAGTATGTATCAACGTCATAATTTTTATCAACAATGGTGTAATATATTAAATTTTCAAAATATTAAGTGAAAATAAGCATATTATTAGTCTAAATGTAACTTTATAACAATTAAGCATTTAGTATTGTTTTCTTTATTATAAAAACAAATGACTATCAACAATAAACAAATAAACTACATATACTCGAAAAAAATTAATAAAATATCTTTTTATTAATTAATTTATGTATTACAATAATCTAAACATAATTGTTTTTTTCCAAATTAAATTATAATAACTTAGGAAAGTAAACAAAGATTTGCAGCAGCAACAACAATATTACCAATTTTCTGAAAATCATCATTTTCCTTAATAATAATAGAACTAAATCCAGAAAATAATTCAAAAGCCTTTTGACAATTAAAGCCATCTTGCTCAACAGTGTTTACCGCATTATTCAACTTTTGATATTGTCCCATCAATAAATATAATACCGCGTTACCCAAATTTATAAGGGCCTCGTTATAATAATTTGAGCACAAGATATATATTGATTTTAAATCCTGATCATTCGTTTGATTGAGGAGGATATCGATTTTTGCTGCAGTGGCAAAGGCATTTGCTCCTGCTACATGGATGACTGATTCCGTTAAATTGTGAAGATTTTGATGGGAACAATCATTTAAGACTGTCAAACAAAAGGCTAAATCCTTGGATTTGGCGCATACATCGGCTAAAGGGTTACTTGTACTTTGAATCGTGAGAAAAGCACATATGACACATAAAATTAGTGATGAACATAGAGAAAAAGAAGATGATATCATTTTCTCACTTTGATTGTTGGTTTTTGTATATGTATATATAATTCTCTTAACAAGTTTAGCATTTATAATATATGGACAATGTAATGAAAAATTCAAACAATCTAGTCAATTAATTAAAAAGTGTCCATAAATAGTTATTCATAATTAATGAATTAGCAACCAGATAGATATGGGATTAGGGGTGTACAAAACCGAACCGAAAACCGAATCAAACCGCAAATTGAGTCAATCCGGAAAAAAAACCTGATTAGTGGTTTGGTTTGACTTGGTTTGGTTTTGAAAAAAAAACCCGATTATATTTGGGTTGGTTTGGTTTTAACTAAAAAAAATCAACTCAAAAATCAAACCAACCCGACATTATATATATAATTTTAAAATTTTATTTTATACATAAAAATATTTACTTTGATATTATAATTTTTAAATATTTCTTATACTTTTTCATAGTTTTTATCTTTTAATATATTATTTCAAGTTTGAAACTTAGAATTATGAATGGACCAATAAAGATTAGTCCACAGATGTTGGTAATTATAATAAAGCTTAAATCAAAATCAAATTAGTACTAATGCAAAAAGAAAATCAATTCAACACTAAGAATGACAATAATATTGAATATTTGTTCTTTAGTTTTACATTGGTTTAGACAATTAAAATACATAATCTAATTTTAATTTCCTTTAATATTTAGTCATGTAACTAATACTTATTAAA